CAACAGTTTCTTTATTTTGAATATCATAATGTACATTGTGTGTGTGTGTACATCCATTCAGTTTTTTTATGATTATTTTTATTTTACAGTTTATTTCTTTAATATTTTTCTCATTCCACACAGGCCAGACAATCCCTAGTGGTGCTGAGGGAATTCCACAAGGAGAGCAAGGCCCAGCTGGACCACCTGGACCAGAGGGATCTGTAGGACCTCCTGGGCCTCCTGGACCTCCAGGGAACGGACTGCCTGGACCTGTGGGACGACCTGGACCTCCTGGTCCACCAGGAGGGCCTGGAGTAGGAAAACCAGGTTTGCCTGGAATGCCAGGCAAGCCAGGAGCAAATGGGGAGGCTGGACCACAAGGAGAAATGGGCCCTAGAGGTGAAGAAGGGCCAGCTGGGCAGCCAGGGTCTCAGGGTCCCCCAGGACCCCCTGGGCTACCAGGAATAGGTAAACCAGGGGTACAGGGATTACCAGGCCAACCAGGGCCCAAAGGAGAGCCAGGTCACAAAGGTCTGCCAGGACTACCAGGATTACCAGGACCCAAGGGAGACAAAGGGATGGGCCTGCCAGGACAACCTGGTCACAAAGGGCTTCCAGGGCCCCCAGGACCTGCTGGCCCAAGAGGGCTGCCTGGATTTGGAAAACCTGGGTTGAATGGGGCACCAGGGCCACAAGGATCACCAGGAGAGAAAGGACATCCTGGAGAGGTAGGACCAGCAGGCCCACCTGGTGAAGGAGGACCGCCTGGACCACCAGGTCTACCTGGTCAAGGAAAGCCAGGTCAAAATGGCCTGCCAGGACAACCAGGCATGCCAGGTGGGAAAGGTCATCCAGGACCACCAGGTTTGCCAGGAAAGCCAGGACTACCTGGATTTGGTAAACCAGGGCTCCCAGGACCAAAGGGTGATAAAGGTATGGGTGGGCCACCTGGACTTCCAGGTCCAAAAGGAGATAAGGGCCACGGTGGACTACCTGGTATGCTTGGACCCCCTGGACCAAATGGTCCACCAGGTCCTCCAGGCCCTATGGGAACCCCAGGGGGTTTAGGTGCACCTGGTCCTAAAGGAGACTGTGGAGAAGTAGGACCTAAGGGGCTTGATGGAGCCCAGGGTGAGCCTGGTGCCACTGGGATACCTGGTAAGGATGGCCTGCCTGGGGAGAGTGGGGAGCCAGGACCAAGAGGTCCACCAGGACCAAGTGGTACCAAAGGAGACACTGGGCACAAAGGTCTACCTGGTAACCCTGGTCCTCAAGGACTTCCCGGGCCAAAAGGACAAGGTGGATTACCTGGTGAAGTGGGACCTCAAGGTCCTAAAGGAATCCCTGGAATGGATGGCACAGCAGGACCAATCGGGCCTCCTGGTCTTCCAGGGACAAAAGGAGAGAGAGGTCTACCTGGTCCATCAGGCATTGCAGGTGAGGGTAATCCAGGTCTTCCTGGCCCCATAGGACCCCCAGGGAAAGAGGGCTCATCAGGACCCCCTGGACAACCAGGTCTACCTGGCCCTCCTGGACCACCAGGCCCACCTGGAGCATCTGGTCTGTCTCCTGACATGGCAGGAGTGCTCTCTGAGATGGGCCCAGCACTAGATGGTGTTAAGGCTGGTGGTTATGGTAAGAAGGGCAAGTATGGAGGTAACGGGGCAGAAGTAATGGGGGCCAGTGGGTTGGAAATGCCAGCATTCACAGCAGTAATAACGACTCCCTTCCCACCTGTGGGCTCTCCAGTCATCTTTGACAAGCTCCTGTACAACGGTCGCCAAAACTACAACCCTGACACAGGAATCTTCACCTGTGACTTGCCTGGCATTTATTACTTTGCCTACCATGTTCACTGCAAAGGAGCTAACGTGTGGGTGGCTCTGATGAGGAACAATGAGCCAGTGATGTACACGTATGACGAATACAAAAAGGGTTTCCTAGATCAAGCATCAGGGAGTGCAGTACTACCTCTACAACCTGGGGACACTGTTTACATTCAGCTGCCCTCAGATCAGGCCTCAGGACTTTATGCTGGGCAGTACGTTCACTCCTCCTTCTCTGGGTATTTGTTATATCCGATGTAAAACCACAAACTGCAGGGAGAGAGGCTTTAGTGAGAACAAAGTGGGAGCATATTTTGTATAATATGAAACATGATCATAATTCACTTTAGAGCAGAGATGAGAGGAAAAATCTGAAGTCTGTATGTACAGCGGCTTTTATATTGTATAGCCTTATATCGCTGTAATAGGTAGGATAAAGATGTTTTCTTTAACAGCTTTGAATATATGAATGTATAAAAAGGCATTCAAGAACACTTTAAAGATGGCCACAGACGTGTTTTCATACAGAAGAGTGCCAAAAACCAATAAAAGTGCAATTTATACAAACATATGTAGGGAACATGTGAAGAGTACGCAAAAAAGAAGATAACACCAACAGCAGTGTCAAACTTTGTCCCTGCACCTCTTCAAAACTGGCAGCTACCCCATGTGGTGAAGAATGTGAAATACACTCGCAAACATGACGGCATGTTCATGTTTGTCAGACATTTCAATTTTTGCATTTTTACCTTTGTACAAATAAGTTTGGGTTTCTCTCTTGACAATAGCAAGCGTGTAAAATGACCTCGTGTGAGTTTTGGTAGAAGGTGAACTGTGTACACCCTAATTCTGATTTTCAATGGATAATTTTCTCAAGCTCCCATGTGGACTACCCAAAAAATAATTAACTGAAGGCCTTACACACACAAGGGACAGCTGGTATAGGTCGTAAACCATTAATTGCATTTAATGTGATCACTTGTAGGCGCAAAAATAAAAATACAAGGTCTAATTACATAATCACACACATGTTATATGACAATTGCTCCCATGAGTGAGATTCAAAGAGTAAGAATGTAATATTAATTTTATGTTTTAATGTTTGTTATAGGTTTATGGATGTAAAGAAAACGTTTTGTACAAAAATGCAATGTCAAACAAACACACCATTTTGCCCTGAACTATGAAAACCACTCTTAATGCTATAATAAACATGACATCACAATATAAAGAAGAGCCAACACTCATCGGCATCTCTGTCGCTAACTGAACTGAAGTATTATACAATTATAAGTTACACACGGGTAACATCAGAAAGCACAGACCCTGCTTACAAACACATACAGTTGTAGAGATGTAACTACAATACAATGCTTTCAGTCAGGGATTAAGAGATAAGAGATAATGACTGCATTAAGTTTCATTTCAAAGCAAAATCATTTTTGATGTAAAATACAACTAAATGTATTCTTACTTACTCCAGCATAAAAACAAAATTAAGTTCCCCAGCATCTTTGGTGAGCTACATTTTGGTATGTATGTGGGGAATATCATATAAATTTAGATTAGAAAGTCAGTCAAAATAAGTATTAGATGTCACAGTAATTCATAACAACGGTTATGTCAATAATTTATTACATTATCTGCCGATCACCTACATGCAATGACATGGACGTAAAGCATGACAATGTTTAAAGGAAAATAAATGTATATTTCTCATTTTAACAATAGTGCTAATATTGTTGTAACCAAAGATCTATGTCTTAATGTTTCACGTTTGTTATTATTGCTCATGTTTTTTTTTTCTAAATAAAAATTGTTTAATTTAAAAAACACTGTTGCTGACATCTCTATTTCTAAGATCAAAGAAAGTAAAATTAACACTTATGTCTGGAGCTGGTATATCAATTTAAAACTTTGTGGTTGATCTCACTGTGAGGGATTATCGAGGAGAAACTGTAAAAAGATCAGTTACTGAAAATTGTGGACAGGACTGTTGGGTGACACCTGTCCAGGTTGACACTTCCAAGTGTGAGTTTCTCATCTCAAATTACCTGCAACCTGTTAAATTGGTTGGAGAACTGGACACCAGCATCATTGGGACATGAGGTAAGACAATATAAGATAGGCTAAGGGCAGAACGTGTCACAAAACACCTGTTTGTTTGGTCACTTGGACTGATGAATGTTTGAGGCCATCATGATGATCACGTTATCACTCATAGGGTAGTAACTAATTAAAGCATTTTTGCACATCAAGAATCTGCACAGATGCACCAGTTTTCTTAAGGACAACTGGGATCATAATACACATATTGCCCTTTTACAAACTCTTGCTACAGAGTACAATTCTGTCAGATAAAATATCTATTAAAGAGGAAGACCACCTAAATTAAGAATTCAAATATGTTATTTTCATGGCCTAGGAAAGTTCAATCAATATTTTTGAACATGAGCTACTTTCTCTCAAAGCCAGAAACCAGAGAAGTTATGTCTCAAACTTGTGATGTCATTATATATAAACCCTGTAAACTAACCCTGTACCCACAAAATGGTTTTCTTTTTTACACTCAAATGAGCTCTATTCTATTGTTGTGTTCTTGATTTGGAAACACATTTTTACCATGTACGTAGATCATTCACCTGTGCTTTTCTATTGCTTGCGAAAAATAAAGTCCTGATGTAGGATTCTGCTTCCCTTTTAAAGGTACAGACAGAGGGTTTGGTTTTTAATACCTTCCATTTATGGATATAAAACTTGGCCAGCAATATGATGAGATTACACAAAAAAAACTCCTGTTCTAGGTCTTTCTTATAACTTCTAAGCCCAAAACAGTACGTCCCTAAAACAAAGTACAAAAGCATCATAGATGTAGTCCAGAACGAATGAGAGACAATCTCTGGGTGCATGTTAAAGTGCATATGGTGTCAATTTCCTTCTTGAACATGACAAAAAATCACTTGACAGGGTAAAAGCGATGAATGAACTCAAAGAAATCTCTTCAACTTTACAAACCAGTAGATATGTTTTAGAAAGATACCATATTTTCCCAGCAAACGCCCTGAACATGCTTATTCCAGGTTGCTGTTACATATGGGACTGAATGAGCATCACTGTCACCCTGCTGGGAGGAGAGATGCTGATGCTGCGGTGGGAGTGGACTTCCTGTTAGCGACTGAGGTTGTGCGCATGCGCTGAGCGGGTGGTAACATCTGTCACATCTTTTGTTTGGACAGATTCATTCAAGAAGCTCAGCTAAACGGTACGGAAATACGCAACGGTAAGCATTATAAGGAAGATAAACTTGATATGGTGTACAATCTGCTGATAATAACACGACGCATGTCCCAGCAAGCTTGTGACGTAGTTACGTTCTCCTAACTAGATGTGTTTACAGGTAATGCTGAATAAGGTTAGCTAGCATCTGCTGCTAACGTGCTAGCCTGCTTCATATCGCCCTAACAGCCAAATTAATCCGCCTGAAATCACTCACTTTAAATTAAATAGCTGGTAGTACCTTTGTGATTGAATTAAACAATGTTCTGGCTTATATTAGTTTAATTCATATCATTTTTTTACTCGTTTTTCTCTTCTTTGTAGTAGCATCTTCTTTTAGTTGTTACACCTGCCTCATGTCCAGTCTCATATTGTGATAAGAGCAGGATAACAATGTGCAGTGATGTGTCTAGGGCTTAACCAAATAGCTGATTTACTACAGCTATTTTGCTAAATGATTAATTGTTTGAGTCATTTTCAAGCAAAAAGTAGAACATTACTCAACAGGATTTGCTGATTTTCTCTTTTAAGTGATAGTAAATCAAACACATCTGAGTATCTTGAATATGTTTGGCTTTGGATGCTGCCAAAACAAAGAATTTGAAACATCACTTAGGGTTTAGGAAATTGTGATGGGCATTTTCCACTATTTCTGAGCATACTATACACCAGTGGTTCCCAAGTGGTCCAGCCACAGGGTCCAGATTTCTCCTCAGTCATTAGTTCAAGGTCTACACAGTTTAACTCATTCAGTATCATACTTGCATTTGGCCATGTCTCAAGCTAGTTTTCTGTCTCTGTCAAGTAGCTGTCTGTTAGTCACTCACTCTGCAGCAGGAAACAGCACTTCAAGATAAAAGTTCTATGATGGAAATTTGCTGTACCTGAAAATAAAGTGTGTTTTTCACAAACTTGTAATGTTGTGAGTCACTTCCGGTCCATTCAGAATGGACCCGTGACGCACCTTTTGACCTCGACCCACCAGTTGGGAGCCACTGCTATAGACCAAATAGATAAATCATTAGAATAATAAAGTTAGTTGCAGCTCTACTTCTGTCAAGTTTGGCTCTGAATTCGAATTTGTGTTGTGTATCAGAAGGTTTGCCTCAACATGACATCACGCGTTGGTCTCAGAGCTGCTGGTGCCAATGGAAGTGTGTACAGACACAAAGAGAGGGTGGCCCCATCTTACCAAATGAGGCAAGTAACTTTGATCTGATACTGATCATTAAAAATGAAGTTATCTCCGACTAGCAACAATATCAACAAGGAACGCTAACACACCTTTGTTTATCTGTTATCTGTTTTACAGTGCCTCCCTGAAGTCAGAGGTGCGCAAGTTAAACCTGGTCCACCTTCTCCTCTGGCTTCTGGTGGCGGCACAGGTGACTGTCAGCCACTTAAACCTGGTGTCACATGACACAGTATCCATGCCGTACCAGTGGGAGTACCCCTACCTGCTCAGCCTCCTCCCTCTGCTCTGCAGCAGCTTGTCACTGCCAAAGAACAATATCAGTTACCTGGTCATATCCATGATCAGTGCAGGGTTGTTCTCCGTGGCGCCTCTCATTTATGGTGGAATGGAGATGTTTCCTGTGGCGCAGCAGCTCTACCGCCACGGAAAGGCCTACCGCTTCATTTTTGGCTTCTCTGCAGTGACTGTTATGTACCTCATCATGGTGGTTGCTGTTCAAGTGCACGCCTGGCAGTTATATTACATGAAAAAGCTGTTAGACTCATGGTTTGACGCTACTCAGGAGAAGAAGCAGAAATAATGGTGTGAAGAAAGCTGTGACTGGGCAAAACTGTTTTTATCTTAATTTATTTACAAGTTATGCATCTTAATCATGTCTATTTATTTAGTCATTATCATGTAATATTGTACCTTAGACACCAGTGTTCCCTGACATTTATATGTAAAACGGAGTGAGATGAACAATTTATGCAGGAACCTGGATTTTCTTGTCATCGTTATTTATTTAAAGCAGATTAAAGTGTTTTGCACACAAGCAGGAGTGGCATCAAAGCAACATCAACAAACATGGCAGCATTCAAGGACATCCTTGTTATCTCTCAAAAAATGATTTGAGAACATGAGCTGCCCCCTCTCAAAGCCAAAAACCTTAGAAGTAAGTTTCGAGCTTGTGATGTCACAGGGTATCAAGTCTGGAGCTGCTCCATAGATAATAAATAGGAGTCTAATTTTTGTGGACCCACAGGATGTTTGTTTTGTTTTGTCATATCCAAATGTGCATTATTCTATTGTAGTGTTCTCAGCTCTGAACCTGAGAATATACCGATATACTTAGAACATTCCCCTGGGTGCTCTCAGTGTCATCTGTAACATCTTCATCATTTATTGTCTATGGAGCATCACAGAATTGAGATTTAGTTCTCTAGTTTTTGGATTTGGGGGCGAATTTTTCATTTCTACTAATATATTTGGACTGTCTTAGACCATAGGAATAACATGCATGAATTTTGAAAATGGGTGAAGCTCCCCTCTTAGATTCAGGCTTCCTCCAGTGATGCTCATGAAATATGTATGAAAGAAATATAGTGCAAGTTAAAATAAGGGATAGGAGATACAAAGAAATAGAAACGTAAAATATGAATATATACTGTTTGTGTTAAATGATTTAGCTTCTGCTGCAGATGTGCTGATGCTGCCTCCTTCATTAAGTCTACCTCTCACTATGTCCTCTTTTACCCCACAGAATTAATTTAAGCCATTAAAAAAGAAAGGTGGTAATTTAAATATCTGCCTGTACTGTTCTGTTTTCAGGTATTCTCATTCGCTATCATAAAGCAAGTGTACCTGCATAGAACATGCATTGTAAACCAAATAAAAAATAAGATGAATACTCTTCAACTTGCCACATGATATCTGGTAATGTTTACTTTTAGATGAGTCAATCCATCACAATGCACTTTGCTCCAGACGATCTGCGCCTGCGCAGAATGAATGCCACGTACTGGTTGACGTTGACAGTGTTGGAGGACACTTCCTGATGCTGGCACCCGGGTCTAGCTAGGCTAGTTAACAGATTTGATTTTCACGGTTTGGAGAAACTTGTGAAACACAGCGTGGTCAAGTCGTCTGATTCGGGTAAAACACTGTCTTTTGTTTAGTGTCTTCATACACAATTTAGTGTTTTATAGCCACACAGCAGCTTCTGTGTTTCAGTGTTTGAGTGCTATGTTGCTAGCTAGCTAGCTAAGTGGTTAGCTTGCTAGTTAGCAGCTACTAGTGGTAGTTCGCTACGCAGGGAGCTAACGTTAGCTCGCCCAAACAGGTGTTGAGGATGATTCATAGGAAGTTACTTACAAAAATGAACACTGCTATTCTTCTCTGGTGTCAAGGCAAGCGAGTTTTATACAATACTGTTTTAATAAAATGCTAGTTAAGCTAACGTTAGCTCCGGTAAATTATAGGTAGCTGTTACAAGTTACACAGGAAACCGCTTTTGCCGAGCGATTGCTATAAAGTGAAAGTATAGCAAGCTATACTACTGTAGATCATGGAATTTTACAAGTGGATATTACCTATGTTATTGCTTTTAATTCCATTGTCATAGTTTACCTTGTCACCATTGACAGGTCAGTGATGAAACGGCCTAGCTAACGTTAGCAGTCACTAGATAGCTGTTTATGGGCCACTGACAGATATATGACTCTGCGTTTGAGGATCTGTTACAGTCAGCTTTAGCGTCACTTCAGTGACATTTTAAATGTTTAATTCCGGTGTACCAAACGTTTTACCAAACATCAATGCATCCAGTCTCGGTAGAAATCGGTTTTATGTTGTCCCCATTTATCCTAAGTGTATGCTAAAGCGCTAGCTACCACACAATCCCTAGCATCCAGCCAATTATTCATCTGGCTAGGAAAGTCAAAGCCATAGCAATTCTGGAATTAAATTCACAGTTGTTTTATTGTCCGGCCTAGAAAATCAGCAGGTAACGTCATAGTGAATCCAGCTGCTGACTACACACAATCAATGAGTGACGTTCATTTGTCACGAACTGATAAATGAATGAATGTAAATTGCAGTTACACAGATGTAGGATTGCAACTCAAACACAATCTGTGAGGTCAACCTGTCAAGCAGACAAATAACCACACATCATATTCCTCTAAAAGATCCTGTAGACATAGTTGAAAGCTTTGATATTTTGGGTCAAAGTCTGTAGTAGCATAGAGTTGTCTTTGCCACCTCACAGGATGCTGTTTGACCCTTAGACTTTGCACCTCAAGTGAATTTGTGTGATACTGACACTGCAGCCATAGGCATCGTTCTTGATTGAATTACACTATATTCAGTACAGACTTCAGAAGACACATCACTGCCCTGCAGGGAGAGAGCGGCATTAAATAGCTTCAAAGTCCATTACATCAAATGTTAAGTAAAGAGAAGCTCCCTCCCACTCTTTGTAATTGTCAAAGTGCCTTTCAAGGATGACAATAAAGATCAGTTACAGTAATGAGGAGCTGCTAATTTGAACTTAATGCCAGTGTTCTTGTAAATGCAGAAACCACATTTTAATCACAAGTAATGACTCAAAGCAGCCACTTCCCCTGACCTATTAACCTACTAATACAGACCCAGTCATACCTGAGGCCTCAGTTTGACTTTTACTTGGCTGTTTTGATGTTATTGTTTTATTTATTCACAAAGATGGATGTACAGATTATTGTAAATAATTCAGCTGTTTTAATACTGAGCAGGGGATCATCGTCATTATTAATTTAACCACAATATAGCAGCCCTGGTGGGGTGCAGCATGTTGACTTGCAAACAGTATTGTTAGTATAGTCAGTTGCCTTGATACTATGGATGCCTGACGTTATCTGTTACCTCCTTAAACAATTGTATAAATGATAGCTTTTCTTTTTTAGTAATAAACATGATTAAAGTTAGTCCAATTCAGCTGTTGCTAATTTCTCATACTTCGATAGGCCCTGATTAGCACTGAGAAAGCGTTAATGAAAGCTAGAACAACAGGCTTAGCTTGTCTGGCTTGTTCTGTAGTTGGCTGTTAAACTTACCTCTCCTCTGACCCTGTACAGTGGTGGGAGCAGAAGAGGTCGGACGGCACCATGAACGGCCAGCTGGACCTGAGCGGGAAGCTGATCATCAAAGCCCAGCTGGGCGACGACATCAGACGCATCCCCATCCACAATGAAGACATCACTTACGATGAGCTAGTGCTGATGATGCAGCGTGTCTTCAGGGGAAAGCTGCAGAGTAATGACGAGGTCACCATCAAATACAAGGATGAAGGTGAGTCAGGACATAGGCCAGCTTATTTTTTATAAACCATAAAGTTTATGATACTGATAGTACTTACTTGACCAGGTCAATTATTCACTTGACCATGTAATTCCAATGTTGTTTAGTGTCTTAACATATTATCAAACATATTATCATTGGGTCTCTCTCTTTTACCTTTCCTAGATGATGACCTCATCACCATCTTTGACAGCTCTGACCTCTCATTTGCCATCCAGTGCAGTAGAATACTCAAACTGACTTTATTTGGTAAGATATCAAAGCATTTCCTTACTATTTCCCCTTTATAGACATAGGCAGCCATGCTGTGTGTGAATCTTGTCTTCAGGAATCCAAACTTTAAGCCTGCAGATGTCCTAAATCATGTGATAGCGTCATCATGATAAACAGCACACCAAAATGTTTCACACCAGCTGTTACAGCAGCCAGTCACTGGAGGGCAGTCCAGCTTATGTTTTACACAACAAACCTCAGCTTTTCCTCTGTCCGAATGAAAGTTGCCTACACTCCCTTCTGACTAATTTAGGGAGGATTGTGTTTCTTAGAGATGGTTCAGCAAACAAACAAAGTAACAGGCAGTGGACTGATGTGTTAACAAAAGCCTTTTGTGCCAGTTATACTGGTTCCTAATCTTAATCTTAAACATGGACCAGCCCAGCTAAATCCATAGTCAATCAGTAGCCCTGTAGCAATGTGACTTAAGGTATAGGTCATAAAGAATTTTTAACATTCCAACAAAACAACCAGTTAGCCTTGCCCTAATGTGTCAGGGTGAGGCCTGCTTTTAGTTATAGTGTATACGTTGTGTTGAACATGCAGGTTTTGTGCAGAACTTATATACAGTACTTGCAGATAAGTTAGTATTGATTGATTAATACTTGACCAAGGTTATGATTTTCATCATTGCTTGAGTAGAAATACTTAAAATGGCGTATACAGGAAATGCACATGCAGCTTTATGAGTAAGTGGTGTCTTCTGGCTTGTTTTATTACAAAATTTTAATAGAAACTTGATCTTGTCCAGACATTAGCATGTTAATTTTTCTTAAATTTGAGCTGTTAGTGGGGGTTTTCTTGTCATAAGACAGACAAAATGCACTGTTAAATAGATTAAGTTTTGGTAACTTGCAGACTTTGTTGCCATGGAAGCAAAGAAGGCAGACACAAGTGCTAAATTAAAGATGACTCATATTCCATCCATTAATCAGCTGTACCCGCTTTTCCTTTGAAGTAGGGCCGGGCGAAAATCAGATCACCTTATTTTTTTTTTTCGAAATACCGTGATCGATATTGCAACAATACTTTAGGGTTGACTATTGGAGCTTTCACTAAATACTTGCACAAGATTTTTTTTCCGACTATGTTTATTGGGTATAATTACATGTGAACTGAGCCCCCCTTTCTCTGTAACACACCTCTTGTAAAGCAAAACAGATTTACAGAACAGAAAACTACATACAGGGAGAAACAAAGAAAAGGTCTGGTGACCTGTCCAGGGTGCACCCCGCCTCTCGCCCAATGTCAGCTGAGATACGCTCCAGCCCCCCTGTGACCCTCAAGAGGATAAGTGTTACGGAAAATGAATGAATGAATGAATGAAACAAGACAATCACACTCAGTCCAGAGCAATATGACAAGCCATACTATTAACACATGACAAAAACAGATTCAAGGTCTTTTTCTAATGCATTAGGAGTGCCAGACTGAGTCAGCCTGATTACACGTGAGATTCTTAAAATAAATATTCATATGTAATGTCGTTATAATGACTTAGTGGGTTAAGGCAAATAATAGAACAGCTGTAACAGTCTGCTAAGTTCGGAAAATGACATCACTTTACTGTAACGCAGCCTTTTAAACCACGAAAAGGCAACACTTGTAATATGAGGTATCCATATAGGATGATATCTAGTTTCATATCACAGTATTGATATAATATTGATATGTTGTTGAAGCTGATCCGAGTTGATATTGAATTGTGCTGATCAGACATGCCATCTGGGACAGTTTTCTTTCATTCTTACTTTTAAATACATGTCCATAAAAGGCCTAATACACCACATGATCTGCGTCTGTAAATGTCAAAATACAACTTGATTTTTTTCACTGATTGTGTCTCCCAGCAGGCCGTTTCTACATTACATGTGTTTCTGTTAATGTTCATGAATTATTCTACGTCCTGTAGATGTTATTAATTTAAAGGCAGGATGATGACCTAGTGTTTGGCTAATGGATAGTCTAAATTGTGTTCTTTCCTGCCAGGAAATAAAATTCTGGTAGAGAGTCACTAGTATGGGAATATAGGCATAAATAAAAGTCAGAGCTGAGTCAACACAATATTGCTATCAGCTGTGGAAGGCAAAACTCAAAACCACAGCACACCGTGGATGTGCATCCTACAGATTTAATAATGTTATCATGATTTGAACTTAAAATGGCCCAACGTGAATCTGTAATGACAACATGATGTTGTTTCCTGCACTCTGCTCCAACTCAGTCAGTCCTCGTGTTGCTGCTATTATTAGCCAGGGAGCTGTAAGATTTTTCTCTTTCTTACTTCCTCCTAATCAAATCTGAGTCCTGGCTCCTCATTTCGTGTCACGACCTCACGTGGACCTGATATTCGCGGACATGTGTCAAGACTCAAACGAGTGAGAGTAGCTGGAATCTCGTGGCAGCCTGTGTCTCGGCGTAGCGCCTCATGACCCCGTGCATCTCTGTTCAGCATTATCCACTCAAACAGACAAACTTGTGTGAGAAAGGAATGTCCGGTGATCTCTTTTCTCACATCCATTTTTTTTTGCAATGGAAATTTCACTCCTAGGTCAATTTGTAGTAGGAAAATAAAGGTTGAAAGGAGGTAGAGCGACACATGTGGTACAGGTGACATAGGGTCAATGAGTGTGAAGGCCTCTGCTGTGTTTCCTGCAGTCTGACAGTGTAATGACGGAACCTATTGGTTTGATTGTTGTGCTTTTATTTCATTAAGTAATCACAACAAACCAGCACCATTTTGCTCAGCATTCCCCAACTCCATTGTCAGCTGGCAGGATGTGATAATGAAGCTATTAATTCCTCTGTCAGCCCAGCGGCTGTTGTGAATAGCTTTGTGGATTCAAGCATGTGATACATGAATCTCGGGTATTTACAGTGTGGAGCCAACAGAATTGGGACAGGTCATTATTCATAATGTCCACATACTTAGTGTAGAATTATCAGCTTTTCCAGACCAATGCACTGCAGAATTATGAGTATCCATTGTGTTTATTTTAAATTAGCAGATGTTACTTTATAATACAGTTTGTACTCATCATGACCTTATTATACATTTTGTCTGTCTACTTACCTGTAAATCATTACTTGCCAGTTGAAAAAATACAGTGTGTCCTTTGCTTCTAATGCAGCCTCAATGTTATAAGATATAGTTTGGATGTTTGGGCATGGAGTTGTCTGAGATTCTTATCCATAGTCAGTTAATTACTTAAAGTAGATGGCAGTCAGCATGCCCTCAGTTTGGAGAAGCAGGCAGGAGTACCACCTTGAAAGCTCGGCAATGCATTGCTGGGAGTTAGGGTCAGCAGGAAAATGTATTTTAGCCACTTAAAAAATCAATATCAGTCTTAGTGGACCCTATTTGAGATTATTTTCATTGCTTTACGTTGCCTTCAGACTGCCAATTCCTTTGGCACTACATTTTTTCAACTGTACAACTTCCAAAATCCTACATATGAGCAAAACTGTGCCAGATACTGTTTTATGGCGCAGGTCAGCTGTTTGGGTCAGACTTTCAGCAGTTTATGGTAAAGACAACATATACAAGAACATTTTAAAAATGACTGATTGTGTCAGCAATAATGATATGCTGTTAACTACACGCCCCCAGTTTGGAGAAGCAGGCAGGAGTACTGCCATGGATACTAAGCAAGGTACTGCTGTGGACAGGTGTTAACAGCAAAACGTTTTTTCGCCACTTACTAAAAGGACTACCCCCAAAAAAAGCACATCAGTATCAGTCTAAGCGGGTGCTAAACTGAGAATAGTTTAGCACCCGCTTAGACTGATACTGATGTGCTTTGTCGTCAGGCAGCCCTTTCCTTTGGCACTAGCGCAACTGTATCACACAGCAGGTCAGCTGTTTGGGTCAGATAGTGATGTTGTGCAATAAAACTGAAACTGAACTTCACTGTACTAAAGATTTCTAAGATGGTGCGAGCTTGTTTTTTAATGGGCTTTTCAAACAAAGAAATGAAAACAGCTGTGGCTAGTTACACTGAATATAGACATCAACACTCCAACCGCAAGACTGAGACAACTCAGCGTTTTGGAGTGAATGTTTTTCTCAAGAGGATTATTTGAAGCCCCTGCCAAATGAGCGAGAGAGACACTTGTAGAAGAGCACTGCTGTGCCCAGCCATCAGGTTAAATTACGCTAAAAACCTACAAATAAATGAAGCGACTAACCAGACAACCAGTAAAGTGAGAAGTTCTGGCATCCTCAGATTCACACAGATCCTGAAGATGTGTTATAACCATGTCACAGTCATGGCAGCAGTAGATCTCTAGGTCCATGAGCATGAGCTTATAGTTTACATAGTTAGCTTGTGCTCTTTCTTTGCCTCCAGTTTCAACAGTTTCACCTCTCTCTTTCGGCCTGTTCAGTCTCCCTCTGCACAAATTCTTCTCTATACTGGTTCACAAGGGTATCCTTTTATCTCCACAGTTAATGGCATATCATCATTGCTGACATTATCAGTCATTTTTTTAATTTTCTAGTGTATATTGTCTTTTCCACAAACTGCTGAAAGCCTGATGCAAACAGCTGACCTGCGCCGTAAAACGATATTTGGCACAGTTGCGCTCATGTGTAGGAATTTGAAAGTTGTATGGTTGAGAAAATGTAGTGCCAAAGGAATTGGCAGTCTGACGGCAACGTAAAGCAATGAAAATATTCCCAAAATAGAGTCCACTAAGACTGTTTTTTTTTTTTTTTTTTTAAAGGTTAATATGTTTTGCTGCTAACCCTAATTCACAGCAATGCATTGTTGAGCTTTCAAGGTGGTACTCCTGCCTGCTTCTCCAAACTGGGGGCATGCCCGCTGCCATCTACTATAGGCAACACACTGACTATAGGGCAGTCCCGCCTCAAAAAATCCAAACTATCCCTTTAAGTCCACCTGCATCTCTGTGGTAGCATTTTCCTGCCACCTTTGGTTTGGTTTACCATCTGCTGAGCTGTTGATGCACTTCTGCACGCTCTGACCCAGATATTACTTGGGGCTCATGGCTATAACTCAGATCTAGACCATGATCTATGTCAACACGCAGTTCAAATTCACGACAACATCGCCCCAAGTGGGAAATGGTCATAACTAATGAGATCCAGATTCAGTAATGGGCAAGAAAGCCCCATTAATAAAGGTATGAACCAGGGAATTGTTGTCTTCTGTGAAAGCGTTCAGGAATGAAGTTCTATCTGTCACCCTCCTCGAGATCTAACACACAAATGGAGACGGTTGTGCGGAGGTAGAGGAATGTCTGACTTTGTTCAATCTCATTCCCAAAACAAATACGGATTTGTTAAATTTGCTCACTTGTCTCTTCGTCTCTCGTTATCCGCAGTGAATGGTCAGCCACGGCCTTTGGAGTCCAGTCAGGTGAAGTACCTGCGCAGGGAGCTCATTGAGCTCAGGAATAAAGTCAACAACCTCCTGGACAGCTTGGAGCCCCCCACAGAGCCTGGTTTGGCCGCTACAGCACCAGACAGTGGTAAGCACTCCCACACACGAGCACACACATGTTAGATCTAAACTGACAAATCAGCCAATATTAGCTTATTGCTTATATCAGTTTGTACATGTTGGCTGCTATGTATCAAGGAATTACATTGCAGAAACAAAGTTTGAGGGACTTTTCTGTAGAAACTGTGTCACCTTTTAATAGTTGTCCACCAGAGAGCACCGATGAGTTGATTTTTTTCAGCTGTAAAGTGTCCTACTTAATATGTATCTTGGTCAAAATTTAAAAAGAAAAACTAATCTGATGGATCCATGTTAAGATTGTTTATGTTATGACAATTTATCATCGTCACATTTTCCAAAATGTAAAATATCGATATCAGGTATCAGCCTTAAAATCCAGTGTCCGTCGGCTTAAAATACAATAATAAATTTTACTCTTTGTGATTTCTGGAGTCATTTCCTACAGTGCTCATGTGCACACCTGCTCTTTGAATTGTTGAAACATGAGAACGACGTAAGCGGGATAATGTACAGCAAGCAGGTCATTATTGGAAACCAAGTCCTGACAGGGTGATACAGGACGCTCACGCAAAGTGTAGGGGTCTTGAATCGTCCTCACATAAACTAGTCGGATCCACACACAACATTCTGCCCCATTAGACAATGCCATATGTTCACACATACACACAATCCAGGTGGTTTGATTTCTCTTTGTTTTTCTAAATCACAAACTGTCTGTTAGGTCTCTTAACACCACTGATGGGAATCACAAGGCCTCTTTAACAAATAACACTCGTTCATATTCCACATGCCGGCTGCCAGAATCGTAAGATCTGTATCCCACAGGGATGCTGGCACCAGACTGAGACACTTTATAAGGGTCAGTCATTGTTAGAATAATTTAACAACTTGTTTTCACATGGAGATTTGTCTAGCGTTATGCACTGCGTTTGTAGCTTTAATTATGAGCTGCGCACATACTGGTTCAGTCCAGTTTGGTTGTAGTCACACACATGCTGATCTCGTGCAGAAAAAGGCCCTTCCCGAAGCATTTATGCGAGGAACATGTGTCGTCATGTTACAGTGTGGTAGTAGGCTGCTGTAGTAAAATTGTAGTAAAAGTGATTTTGTGCTGTCGTTTATGATTCTCTCTGAGCTGTAACTTTTAATTTGGCCTATTCTTAAAAAGTACATAATCATATTTGTGATTTGGCTGGAATCAAGGATGAGAATAAACATTGGTGATGTGTAATTTGCAGTTTGGCCTCATGCTGAGACAAACAGGTGGAGTATAATCAAGGTCTTTTATGAGGCTTTGGCAGTGTTCATATTAAAAACCCTTAAATCGTCATACTTGTTGTGCTACATGTTTGTGTTAATGGTGTTATAACAAATCTTCTTTTACATATATATAGTTGAGTCAAAATGTTGTGTACATGCATTGCATTGTCCCCACATTTTGGCTGTGTTCAGACAGCAGGCAAATCAGATGATCAGGTCAGACTTGTGTGTCCATGCATCACCAACCTATGAGCATGGGTTGCTGTGGTGACAAAGTGGCATCAGTAACTACATAGCCACCCTAGTGACATGGATTTCCAACACATGAGAAATGGAGGCTAACAGCAACATTGACTGTTTTCAACATGGAAAATGGTTATGGGTTTATTTTACAAAGTCTCAAAAAACACACCGCAGTTCAAGGCTAAATCACAAAGCTTTTGAAAGGGATACGATGACACCGGAGCCCTCGTTGGGACTGTACGAAGGTTAGCGTTAGCTTCTGGGCAAATTTAAGCCAGTCTCTGTCATGCAGGATTGAAATCGCATTTCAGACCACCTCCAAATGTGGTTTGGATCCATGTTGCAAAAATTGCATTTCATGTGGTTTCTTGCTGTCTAGACTTTCTAAAATCAGTCTGGGTATGCCAAAACACGAATTTGGGCTGGCGGTCTGAACAAGGCCAGTGTCTTCTTCTCTGCTGCTTTTTCTTCTCTGCTGTGGCTGTTGTTTCTAGAATCAGTGGATGGACGTGAAGGCAAAGTGGTGGTGGCGGACCCCACAGTTAAACAGGCCACTCCGGTCAGTGCAGCCAGCATGTCCGCCTTCGACCCGTTAAAAAACCAGGACGAGGTCAGCAAGAATGTTATCTCCGCTTTTGGCCTGAGCGAGGACCAGGCCCCAGGTATTGCATCCTATCCAACCCTACCCAATCCATATTGGTTATGTTTCAATGTATAGCTGTCATGTAAATAATTCCCATCTCCTCTGTGCCATCTGAGTAGCTCCCCCAGCGGTTGCACCAGAAGAGCGCTCAGGAACCCCTGACAGCATTGCCTCCTCCTCGTCTGCAGCCCCCCAGCCAGTGGTGCCCCCCCAACCACAGGCCCCCTATGCTGGAGTACAGCAGGGACCCCCAGCCGGCATGGACGGTAAGACCTGTGCACACACTTACAATATCCTCCAAGAAATCCTATATACACACATGCCATATTTATTACAGCGCAACTGGTGACTATTCAAACAGACACACACTGAGGCATATTTGTGTGGAAAGAATGCATTATGGGATAATATCCTAATGACCACAGGGAGGAGGAGATCCTGCAGTATGGGTGGTTAAGCAATTACATTCTCTTTTACAGTGGTGCCATTATGTGGGATGTTTTTCCAATATTATCACCAGTATAGCCTCATAAAAATGTCACCCCCTGTTGTTTAGCAAGTTTGAATGGTGTTGCCCTAAACGACCAGTTCGAGCTCTTTCGTTTTCCGATGAGTACTTCTGCCTGGGATGGGATCTTATAAACCTGAGGTAGGAAGAATAAAAATAAAAACGTATCCCCTGACGAGTCTTTGCGGGTATGATTTGATTTACAGGCCAGGTAATTACTCTTAGGGCTATATTTTGGCCAGGAAAAAAAACTGGCATGGCTGTTTTCACAGAGGTGTCTTGACCTCTAACCTCAAGATATCTGAATGAAGAAGGTTTTATTGGTAATGGGATTCCCCTCTTTACCGACATGCCTACTTTATGCTGGTCCTGTGCAGTTTTTGGCGAAAACATGCAGTTTTTGTGCACGCAGTATAAATGTGTTATATTTGCCTACTCTAAAAATGTTGTTTTAAAATATTTATGGTGTGCCTAAACAGTCTTGTTATTGACTAAACTGGGTATGACTGGAAAGCTGAGACTCTTGTGGATTCAATGAGCCTAGTTTTATTCATGTGTGATGATGATAGCCCCCACAGTAGTGATTTCATTGCAGTGAGACCATTTTTGAAACTTGACATCACTGTATAAAGTGACCTATTGTAACATCTAGGATTATCACAGCCTCATGGAACTTTACAAACACAAACTACAGGCCCCAGACATTCAAAGGATGCATGGCTTTATATGCAGGTATATTGACAATAAGGGAGTTAAGAGACACATTTAAGCATGGGAATGGCCATTATTTACTTCTATCATAATATTCTAAGCCCTCACACACTCTAAACTTTTAAAGTTTGAATAGGCACCTAACCAAAACACATTTATCACTGATTTATGACTAGGAAAACGTAACACAAAGTGCTAAACTGCAACTCAAATTAATCGTCAGGTTCCCTGCTTTCAGATGATGTATATCACGTCTATGTGGTATATACTGTTGACCTGCTATCTCCTTATAAATATCCCCTGCCCCCTCTAAAAACGTTTGAAAAATGCATCAGTGATGGGTCTCAGAGAGTTCAAACCAGGGGTGTCAAATTCATTGTAGTTCATCAACCACATACGTCTGTGCACCATGCCAGTAAAACCATTACATAATAACCCATAAATAACAACCCCTTCAAAATTTTCCCTTTTTTGTGTAAAAAGAATACAAGTACGTTCTGAAAATGTTCAAAACTAACAGCCTGCGATATCCTTAGAAAACTATGTGCAAATACAACAGTCCATCTACTACTCACTTTTATTAAATGTGCATTTTTTTCATAATGTTCCACTCCCACTAAGTGGAAGCTGTTGGAGAAGCAGGTTGAGTCATCCCGTGCCTGACATTCCATTTACAAATCTGAAGTTTTGTCAGTGCCTTAGTGACAGGGCTGTGATGTGACCACAGTATGTATTTTTTTTATTATTTTTAGAGAGCTGTATTGTGGTCAGGGTGGAAAAGCCTCTGAGGCAGCATTTTATATGAAGTATCTACTCGCTGTTTAAATTGCTCCAGAAACCTGGCACCTCTCAGCCTTAATAAGTGCATCAATATTAGGTGTACAAAGTCATCTAGTGGGCCGGATTGGACCTGTGGCCGACCAGTTCTGGCCCCTGGGGCGTTTGTTTGTCGCCCTGGTTTAAACATTCTTCATCAGTAGTATTGGTTCTTGCAGTAGATGTAAAGGCTAGTTCACATTACACGATTGTCACCCCGATCATACCTGGCAACGTGTGTTTCTGTCATCAGGAGTCTCGCCAACTGTGTTACGACCTGTGTGTGCACACTACAAGATTTCTCCACCGAGCCCTCGCCGACAGAGCCCCAGATAACGCGGTGATATCACCAAACTACGTTTTTTAACTTGGACACGACACATCGTAAAGGCATGGATATTCTTCCCAGTGTTGAATCAGATCTGCCTCCAGGGCCTGGGTCTAAACACAACGCACACCCCGTGATCCTGTGGACGCTGCCATTGTTGTTGTTGCTTGCTGACTTGACTCAGTGTTGCCAGATCTTGGGAGAGAAACAAGCAACCAGGGCTACAGAAACAAGCCCAAAAGAAGCAACGTATATATATATATAGAGAAAGGCGACGTTTAGAGAGCAAGCCCAAATAAGCAACTCCACTTTAGGAACAAGCCCAGAAAAAAGCAACCCAACTACCAACATTTGTAAGCGACTTTACAAAAAACAAGCCCAAAGTCGCGATTAATAAGCGGACCTGGCAACCCTGCGGCTTGTCCTCCTCATTTCTTCCGTCCTCCTGCGTGCTGACGTGGGATGTGTCCTGCCTCTCATTGGCTAATGCTCTTTGTCAGTCATGTCAGACTTCTTCAGTTTTCTATCATGCCAGATATCCAGTCCCAGTCACAGACGAGGGGGAGACTTGCTTGCAGGCTTGTTCACACATGAGGACTCGTCGTGGCAGACTATCTGCCCACTCACCTCCGACCCAAGGTGACTCTCAAGATCTTCTGCGACATCAAAATCGCTTTGAAAATCGTGTAATGTGAACTAGGCTTAACACTCCACCACCCAGACAGATATGTTACTCCCCTCTCAGGTTGCTGTGCATCGTCTCAGAGTCGTGGTCCACTCACACAGTACAGCAGTAAAAACCATAAAAAGAAATCAAAATCTGTGACAGTAAAACGTATAAAATTATAGACACTGAAGTATTATAATTTTTTATGTTCGTATGAGTTTATTCCTGTCAGTACAGTACATTCACACAGGCTCGTTATGCAAAATGACCCCCTTTCCTTTTCTTCATAACTGTGACTAAAGGATTTACTCCAAGACTATGAGCAGTCACCGCTGCAGTCGTCATCGTCCTACTGTGTGTGAGAAGTAATTTCATGCCTCGCTTGACTGTGTCCACTCTGAAAACAATTACACGATCAAGTATAATTTCATATTTGTGTAACAGACTCGGATCAAAGAATACACCAGACCCTGCTATGCTACCTTTGTTTAGTTAGCTGTGTTGTTTTATTCCTGACTAGATTACAGATCTAATATCCTGTCAGCGATTAGATTAGATGAAATGTTAACAGAGTGGAAGAGTATTGTTTTGCTATGAGGAGAGCAAACTCCAAAGAAAATGTAAAAATTAAAGCAGCTACTTCAGTTAGAGGAACATATTGAGGAGGAAAATAGTTAGGATGAGGTCACAGACTTGTTGACAGTTTGCTGCATGTTCTATTAGCACGTGCATGTTCCTTGTTTTGGGGGAATCACATCCCTTCTGCTGTTGCAGCAGAAAAGATACTTGAGTCTCACCACTGTGGAATCTTAATCAACACTCTGTAAACAAGAGTATCCATGGATTTGGGGTTTATCTTACTCAGCAGAGACTTTATCAAAGCCCTCCCCTGTGTGCGATCTTTAACACGGACCAACCCAAGGCCAGGATGAAGATAAATGAACAAAGGATGTGGCAGCGTGTTGGCAAAAACAAACCTGACTTATTTTACTTCATTCTCAGCACAATACCATTCTGGGAAATCATCCTCTGTGCCAATCTTGTGTGTCCATTTCCCTTATCCAACTATGTCTGTTAGCATGAGGGAATTCTCTGGCTGTTTCTCGTGTTGTTATGAAGAAAGGCCCAGACAGGTGCAGCAACAGAGGTTAGGCATATTGTATTGTTTACGCTGTTAGTGGACCAGATTGTTTTCAGCTTGTGGTTTGGCCCCGCTGGATTTGGAGACCACTGGAGCAAAGGAGATGCCTCCTCCTTGCACCCTGTGAGAGCTGGAGCATGTTCGCGGAGCGGTCACACTGCTGACTCCTGACTGACCAAACCTGCAACACAGAGGATCAGCTCACATGTGGTATAACTTCCATTTAACTGGTGGTTTGTGGTTTGGCCTGGTGGCGCTGCAGAGCCTGGCCATAGGGCTCAATAAGAGTTTAGTTGATCCAGATGAAGACTTGTTCAGTCAGGGGGTTTACCAGCTGGTGTACTGAAGGGATGCTTGTGCTCATTGGAGCTGTGGGGGTATATTGGATAAAAAAATGTTTGGGAACAACTGGTTCAGGTCAAGGACTGGGTGTAGGCAGCTAGAACGAACATTGTGTATGAAGTGGTTACCCTGTTATGAGCGAAGAATCCGAAAACAGGTCATAGGGGTCTGTGTTTAGTTTTAGTTGATTCAAAACACACATTAAACTTTTTTTTTTTTTTTAAATTTTATATACTTTATTAAATTAAATTAAAAAAATTAAATTTTTTCACTCCGTTGTCATTAACACACAGGTCCGAATGACACACACATGCACAAACAGGACCTATACCTGCACAAAGTGGAGAGATGTCAGAGTGAGGGGTCTGCCCTTGGTCAGGCGCTCCGAGCGGTTGGGGGGTTCGGTGCCTTGCTCAAGGGTACCTCGGCAGTGCCCAGGAGGTGAACTGGCACCTCTTCAACCACCAGTACACGCTCCATATTTGGTCCAGATGGGGACTCAAACAGGCGACCCTCCGGTTCCCAACCCAAGTCCGTATGGGACGGACTTGGGTTGGACTGAGCTACTGCCGCCCATGGCTTAATATCGACGATTTCAAACACAAGTACACAAATCAGCTTTGTTATAACTGACAGCATTCATAGACAAAGAACTTGTCTTTATCTGGACACATTTTCCCCACAAATACAACATGCTAATGTTTTTAGCACAAGACTATGGCATTTTAAGTTGTATAAATTAGCCTAGTGGCT